CCCATCAAAAATAATTGAGGGAGTACCAAGAGTTATTTTGTGTATGGGAGAAAAATAATGGTTTTTAATTATTTAGTCCAAAGTTTAAAAGTTGAATTTAATATTGTAGTGTGGGTAGTAGAATGTCAATTTTTTAATATCAATTTTGTCTATTTGATTCTGCTGGCATGTCTGTTGGAGTATTCTTTCACGTCTAAAGTAGGATAGGATTGTCTCTGAGTTCAAATTTTATGATGGTCACTATCTTAGGAATTAATAATTTTTATGTGTTTTTCAACACTAAATGTTGTAGGGTCAGACTGTTGTTCCGATGCTTACAGATATTAAAAAAAAAAAGAGGATGGTCTCTATTTCATTGTTTGTATTGAAAAAAAAAATCCTAACTTAAATCTTGACCATTGATCATTTTATTTTTCTCTACTGAATGTCAAGTTTAATATGTTTTTATTCCACCATGATGAGAAATTAAGTGAATATTTTAATCAAATAAGGATTGATTTGTTAGTCGAGTCTAGTTTTAGTATGTCTTGGCTTAGTGGAAGGAACAAAATTCGCTCATGAATCTTCCTCTTGAGCACCATACGGTCTAATAAATCTCAATATCTCATATCTCAATTTTTTTATCTATTTTTTTTTAATATTTTGTAGTTCTATATATATCACAACTTAGTCAAATTGTAGTAGTAATTGATCATTGTGACGACAATGAAGCCATTGTTGATAGCAAAAATTAGGTTCAAAGTGAAAATGTTGATAATATTAAAGGAAACTGCGAGAATGAAAGAAAAAAAGTTAGAAAATTATTATTGAAAATATTTTGAGAGTGAAAAAGAGAGATTTTACCAAAAAAAAAAATTTAGAGAGAAAGAAGAGTAAAGAAACAAAAAAATATATATAGCTCAATCATTATACAGAAGGAGTGAAAAGTCATTTGATAGTGGTAGAAAATGAAAGAGTTGCATCTAGAAATTCAAAAACTTTTGATATTAAAAAAATTAAATATAATTAGAGGTTATAATTATTCAATTAATTTGGGTTAAAACAAAAATGTTTCATATTAATTTTATGATTTAAATTAAATTAATATAATTTAATAATTATTGATAATTAATTATGACGAACACATTTTTTAAATTTAAAATTTTATAGAGAAATAAAATTGTCCAAATATATTTTACAAAAGATGGGATGTTTTTAATCTATTTTCAATAGTTATAAATTTAATCCTTTTAAAAAAGAAATTGACAACATTTTTAAATTCAAGTTTTCACATTTTTATCATTTAATTTTTTTTATCAATTCATTTCAATTTATGAATGCATCTAATTATTCATTTTAATATATTTTATATTTTTATTTTTCTAAACATAATTATTTAACCCTTAAACATTATAACTTTTGAAATTCTATTATCAATTATATAATTAAAAATTAAGTCATTAATTTTATAATTAATTTTTAGGAATAAATTGACAATAATTTTATTCAAATTTTTTGTATTTTTTTTTCTAAACACAATTATTTAACCATTAAAACATTATAACTTTTGAAATTCCATTATTAGTTACATAATTAAAGATAAAGTCATTAATTTTATAATTAATTTTTAGGAATAAACTGCCAACAATTTTATTTAAACTTTTACCATTTTTTACTCACTTTTTTCCTAGTTTATTTTAACTTAAATAAAGGTATTAAAAAGATAAGGAAAAAAAAGAAAATTGGAGGGTGGCGCGGTGAGAGAGGGGAGGGAGAATGAGTGGAATTTGAGGGAATATGGAGGGAGGGAAGTGAATGAATTGGTGAGGGAGAATGAGTGGAATTTGAGGGAATGTGGAGGGAGGGAAGTGAATGAATTTGAGAGAAAGAGRGGTGAAATGACAAAATTGTCATCAAAATAATAAAATAAAAATTTAAAATTAAAGGASAAAATAGGGAGATAAAGTTTCTCCCATAATCCAGTATAGATTTCATAAAATCACAAGTACCTCTCTTATTCATTTATCTTTTTGTCTTTTTGTTTTTTTAAATTTAAAGTATTTTTTGCATTTAAAAAACATGAGAAAAAAATATCTTTTTTTTCTTTTTTAGCTCAACTTTTTAATGTGTATGTATCTTTGTACTGTGAAAAAAATATCAAGTTTGGAATGTTGCAAGGAGAAAAGTATAAGAATTTTTTGTGTAACAATGAAAAAATATTCTTTTTGAAACAACGGTATTGAAAAGTAGAGTAAAAAAGATAAAATAAATTTRAATTAAAAAATACAATTAGAGAAAAAACAAATGAAGGTGAAGCATTACAGAAGAGAGATGAGACATGATAAGGAGACAGAAAAAGAGGAAAAGAAAAAATAAGAGATATTGATGACATATTGTAAATTAATAAATAAGAAAAAGACACATATTTATTTGCTATTAGGACTCAGAAGTACAGTGTTCTTAAATCTTGGAGCAACGGAAGACCCTACTATTATTATTATCAAGGTTTTAAATGTCGACGTCAATGGAAATGTCGACGTCTCAATTTCATAGAATTATCAATGRAAATATCAATAAAATGTCGATGTCGATGTCGATGGATATTTCTATAGAAGTTAGAAAAATTAAAAAATTGTAAAAAATATATTTAAATTAAAAAGTACACAWTTTCATATTTCTAAACTAATTAAAAATAATTAATATTCATATTATGTATATATTAGTCGACTTTCTTGTACTATGATGGAAATATCGATTTATCCTTCATGTCGATGTCGAACCTATGAAAGCATGAATATGTCGATAGAAATGTCGACGTGTCGGATATTTAGAACCATGATGATGATGATGATGATTATTATTATTATTAATCTCATTTATCTATTTGGCAGGACATCTCTTGATTAGACCAACTCGTCATAGGATGTGGCAGGCTTCGTCTTGAACTTAAAAAAATGTATATTGATTTTTATGATTAACTATAGTGGTATATAATTTAGTTGGATGTCTATTTAGTCCTTAATTAAAATTTAAACGAGATTTATTTAGACTACGATTTTATTACTCTTTAACACTATTAACTAAATGATAATTTAGCATACCGAGGGACAAAATAGATATGGGTTTGAAAGTAATCTTAACAATGACAAAAATATTTTTAGAGGGTCTAAAAAAAATTTAATTCAGAGTTTATATTTAGCTATAATTCAAATGCACTTTTGAAATAAGTTATAACACTTTTCAAAGAAAGCCAAAACACTCCAAAGTGCTTTACCAAACGCTTTTGGCTTAAACACTTTATTTTCAATCTCTCAATTCACATGCATTCTTCCCGTACCATCCTACGCGCAACTTCTCTCGCTAACTCATCTCTCTATATATACCAAAGTTTTAAATGYCGATATTGATAGAGATGTTGAAGTCTCAATTTCATGGAAATGTGCTAAAGCGAACATAKTTTGTGGTAATTATCATATATCTCCAACTAAGAGGTTGCAAGTACGATGCTCCACTCCCTCATGTTGTACTAAAAAAAATCATGTTGATGTCTCAATTTTCATAGAGATATTGATAGAAATATCAATAAAATGTTGATGTTGACAGATATTTCTAGATAAATTATAAAAAAAAATTGTAAAAAATAGCTAAATTAACAAATAAGAATTTCATTCTTTCTAAATAAGTTAGAAATGAGTAGATTTAGTTGATATTTTTCATATTTTGWCCATTTTTTGTAATATTAGGAAAATGTAGATTTACCCCCTCACGTCGATATCAAATCCATGGAAACGTTGATAGAAATATCGACATGTCGAAAAATATTTAATAACGAAATTGCAGTGGTTAGCAAAAATCTTTTACGTATTTCAAAATATGTTACCTATTTTTTAAAATTTTCAAATATAGCATAAAATTTCACTTATATTAGCAGTATACTAGATACTTATATCAATAGTATATCAGACACTCATATCAATAGTATATATCAGATGTGTATCACATGTATATTGCAAGTATATCAGACATATATCACATACATATATCAATAGTCATATATATTATAAATATATTATAGATTTATTACAAATGTATATCATTTTGGTAAAGTTATCATTTTTTTAAAACCCAGAAGTCGGCGACCCTTTGGCCTTTATGCCCCTATACTTGGGA